GACCGCCGGCCTGTGCGACGTGCAGCCGGTGGAGATGCTGCAGGATCAGGCGCAGTGCATCCTCTCGGACCACGTGCGTCTGCGCTACCCGCGCCAGGCAACCCGCTTTGGCCGGCTGCTGCTCCTGCTCCCGTCGCTGCGCACCATCCGGGCGGCCACCATCGAGGCGCTGTTCTTCAAGGAGACCATCGGCAATGTGCCCATTGCGCGCCTGCTGCGCGACATGTACACCATGGAGCCGGCCCAGGTGGACAAGTGAATCGGCCACGCATGGCATCCGAAATGCAAGCAAAATCGATTCCCTAGCAGCTAAGCGCCATCGGTCGTCGTGCGAACTATATTTGTATTCCAATGCGAGCCGAATCCCATTCAGATTCAGGATTCGGGGCGGCAGCTGCAGATGCGGCGGTTCGCAGGGCGCCATGTAATGGAGGCGTATGTACTAACCGCGCTCCTCCATTGGCGATGCAGTCCGCGATGATGGCGCACCCACATCCACACCTTGATTTATCGCCGGCAATGCGTCGGGCTCTCCTTACATTCGCTTCGTTTTCTAACATTTGTATCCTTATTTTATTTCATCTTTTTCCACGGATTTTTCTTTTTGACTGCCTGGGCGGCACTCTTTATTTATCTTTCATTCGACGTTTTGTCGTCGCTTTTCTAAAAATTCCCCATGTTATTTCAACCTGGCAAGGACCTCGCAGTCCCATTCCCTCGCCCTTACTTACAAATCACTCCCCATCCTGCGATTCCGCAGTCGTTGGACTTTTTCGCGCCCTGGCTTTCAAATACCCTTCAATAAGGCAAATGAAGATTCAGGTACATAACCCACAAAATCAATTCAAAACCCTTTTCAAATGCATTTGGCTTAAACTAGATACTTTGCAATGAAATGACTGAATGATACCAATAAATACAAACTGAAAGGTTTAAAGCAAAATCGAATTATTCAAAAAGTATAAATATTTCCATCTCTCTGAATTTGCTTCCATACTACAGGGTATTAAAAGTCGTAAAGGGCCATCATCCCTGAAAGTCCGCCCACTTCTACATTCATGATTTAATATGACTGTCTTTTTTTAATACCTTCCTCCCGGTTTTTCTCAGTTTCCAGCTTTTTTCCATTTGGGGTATCATTTCGAATAACGCGTTTAGAAATCGTGAAAATGAAAAAACAACTTTGCCGCAGGTCAAGCGACCAATTTATGTTGCATGTTATGCCTCACTGTTACTGTTGGCTCGTTGGTTGCCTCTCTGGCTTGATGTTTCAGTTAGTTGTATCTAATGCACAGACGGATACGATAGTATCTGTGTATCTGGACATGCACCTGCATCCGTCAGGGGCACTGGAATGTGTGAACTCCGCTTGTGCAAGCCGAATGCTTTATAATTGAGTTTTTCACATTGATAATCGTAAGAACAAGATGTTAGATATAGCGAAAACAAAACATTAATTAATATAAATGAATGTAAAATTATGGTCAATAACCATGTAAGGCAAATTTAAATAAATTAAAATATATTAAAGAAAAACAGGTTTCATTGCTTTTTATTCTTTTTCGTTAAACTAAGGAAATATTTATGGGCTCTTTGGTAACTTGTTATACTTTATAAGTAAGTATTGTTCTTTTTTGGGTTTACGCCGAACTAGATAAATATATTAAATATATCATTTGGACATCCAAATGGATTTTGGAAAGCTTTGCTTTCGGCGACAGAAATATTTTAGCGTTTTAGGCGTTTGTGGGCATGGCAAAAGTGTTTTTATATGTAGGTATACAGAAGAAAAAAAATCGTGGATTGCGTAGGCGTCACGGAAAAGCTTTATTCTATCTTCACTTACAAAGAATTAGGTATGAGTATATTAGTACAAATCAACATGTGTAATTCATAATAATAGTTAGTTAGTTATTAGTCTTTATGATGCTTGAGTCTTTTGTTGGTACAAATAAATAGGCCACATTTAAGTGATTTACATTTAACTATGAAAAAGCATTTAAAGGGATTTTATGGCATATCTGTTTGAATCGTGGTTGTATTTGCACGCATTTAATTTAGATGCAGATTTTCACTGCAAGTAAGTACAGTGGGGCCTCGGACTGCAAGACCATGCAACTTGCATTACAAGCGTGTGATGTTAGGTTTGCAGCAGCTAAACAAATTGAAGCGCCTAACCAAATACCCTGTAAGCCAAAGCAAATGCTGTTAATGGATGTAATGCCGCACAAAAAGAAGAAAATATTAACCAGTTTAAGCAATTAAAACAATTAAGTGTTTCCACACTATTTGCAGAGCAACAGCGGAGGGCCAAAAAAAAAGGAAAAAAGAAAATATGATAAGTAAATAGCATCACAAAAGTGCCGAAAACATTTCCCAGGACAAAGCGAGCGGCAAATAAAAATGTAAATCATAAAAAGCGTAATGAAAATAAAAATCCTCAATTTGTATGCTGTCGCATATTCCGCAATGCTTAAGCATTGTCCTCCAAGTGGGTGGTGTCCTCCGCCACCTGATTGCTCCACCAAGGCGGACTGGCGGACTGGCGGACTGCCATAAATTCTGCCAGCAGACACCAATCCTTTTCAAAGGACATGTGCGCTATGTGCGTCTATTATTGATGCCCGGTTACCGAACATCGCCTGTCATCAAAGAGCCCGATCCAACGATTCAATTGTCTGAGACAAATGTCTTTGGCAAAAGGTAAGGAAAGCGGTCTTATTTTGCATATGCAAACGCCGGCAGCTTCGATTCGAAGAGGGACAGCCGCACAAACCGCTCGGACATGTTGCACATTACCCTTTCGGAGCTGCTCCACCAACCCCCATCCCCCGTCCCCCAAAAAAAAGCAACCAACTCCTGGAGGGGCGCGGGCTGGGGTTCTAAGGAAAACTTTTAGCATCCGCTGCCAGTTCTTTTCACACTTTCCTTTTGCCGCCGGCCATGGGCAATACATCTTGGGCCACAAAACACAAAATCGTCTTAAGTATTTTGTGTGGTTTAAATAAAGTAAAAATAATAATGCAAAAATAAAACCCAATGCCCAGATGTCCGGCTCAAGGGAGCGGGAGTGTGTAAAGGATAAGCGTGCTACATCCGCTTAGCGATGTCCTCCTCTAGTCCTCGAATACCCTAATGTGAGTTCCCAAGCCCTCAAAAACTGGCAAACCAACTGATAAATCAAAAGTGTAAGTATGTAAGTAAGTAAGCTAATTGTTACTTTCTAACACATAATTGCATACAAACATTTACTGCCGCCTGCATTCCAAACTCGTTTTTAGTTGATCAATATTATTTGGTTTAATATTACACCTAAAGGGCATTTTCACGTCAGTTTAGCGCAGCTGTAACTAGAACTTTTCGTTTTCTTTACTCCTTTCTTGGCATTTATTTTTGGGTCTCGTTGTTGCGTAAATGATTTTATTTCGTTGCTGTAAAATTTTTGATGTACTATTATTCTATGCCCAAGTTCCCAATGTCCATCATTGTTTTTTATAGACACATTGCTGTGTGCAAAAGGGTTCATTCCCCGCACCCACGCCTCCTCCAACGAGGAGCGCCTCATCGTCAGCATGACAAGCGAATCAGCCTTGGCCAAAAGGTGGGCTGCATATGGGATATGCGATATGTGATGTGTGATATGGGTTATGGGTTATGGGTTATGGTATATGGGATATAGTCGTGTGTGGGCACAAGATCCACGCAATCTTGATGATGTGAATTGTGGCACTTGTCCATCCAATTCGGGCCGTGGGCCGGCATATCATGCTGCAGGATTGATAGCTGTTTGCTAATTTTGAGTTGCTGCATACGCCTGGTATGACGGATATACCAGTTCGGCGGATGTGGTGGGAACTCCACGTATATGGTTGTAATCTCCGCCAGCAACAAGGGGATAAGCCAAAAGAATCGATGAGTGAAAGGGAGCACAACTGATTGTGAGTCTGAACAATTAAAAGAAAGATAAGTTAAGCTGGGAAATCCAAAGCTTATACATCCCCGATGTCAAAAGTATATGAAGCAATCGTTAAACTTAATCAATGCTCTGTTTTATGCTTTATCTTGCTATCTTTTATATGACTCTGATATGGAGAGAAACATCATATTGGGTTATCTCTTACATGACCAGTTGATGGTTACAAGAAGCACAAGAAGTGGAGTGGACAAGAAAACGTATCACCACATTTTAAATTACGCAAGAAAATCATATTACAGCCACGAAAACCAGTTGGGCCCACTGCCACCCACCCACACAGTGGGGATCGGGAAACATTTTCCTGCTTTCCCAGCATCACAGTAGGAACAGGGCAGACCAGACCAGACCAGGCCAGACCAGACCAGACCAGAGATACCAAGTCAGGCCACGAGCATAACGTGCAGCTTTCCAGCTTTCGCCGCAATCAATTTTACGGGTGCACAGCAGCAACAACCAGGAGCAGCCCGGGATGCGCCAGTGGAATTAGAGCAACCCCCAGCACAGCCACGCCAACGCCAACGCCACGCCAACGCCAACCACCCGGCCAACTCACGAGCGGAGTTAGACGCGCCAGGAGGAAGAGGAGCGCACGTGGTCCTGCTCACATGAAGGTATTAGCCCGGAACATCGCTGCCTGGCGTGGGTCAACGCCACCGCGCAGAGGCATCGGCTGCATCTATGTATGCGTGGCAGGCAGGATATTTGTCCTGCAGCACAACTAAATGCAAAAAATCCATTCGTCAAATTGACCGATAACACGCTTCAAATTCCCCAAAACAAAGTGCAGTAAATAGCAGGCAACACTTTAACGGTCGCTTCAGTTTACAGTGATTAATTTGAAGTAATAATTAATAACTATATTTGTTTTTCAGCCAGAAATCTGCTGCAATGTTTATAACCCCTGTTTCCAAATTTGCCCATATTTGATTATTCGATCCGATTGTAACAACTCTTGGTAAAATATCCAGTTGATTGACACTGATTAGAGGACATTTTGTTCCTGTAAAATGTATCCATTTTTGAATCTGCTAATGTGCTTTCCTCTTTATTCGCGTAAATTAGAAAACATTATTAACTAACAGTGGCTAGACACTCAAACTGGTGGCTGTGTCGATCCTGAGGCAAACACCCCTTTGATTTCGCACATTAAATCCCCCTTAGCACATGATGAAGAGGAAGCTGGTGGTGAGTCCTTTTGAGGTTTTGAGCTAAGACTGTTAAATTTATCCAAAAGAAGTTTAGCCGCGCCCTTTTTTATTTTAAAACTGTTAGTCATAGCGTCTTCAAGACCCTGCATGGTTAACGATCCATGTTTGATCATAGATCCAGCATTGGAGATAAACTTATAAAGCTTATTCTTCATCACATCGGAAAGTTCTTGAAATTCGGCGAGATGAATAGCTGGGTAGAAGTGGTCCCGTACTAATTATTACCAAGCAACAATAATATTCGTAAAATTACTAACCACTGAAAATAATGAAGACTTGCAGAATAGTTATCCATTTGAGCCAGGCCATCATTCAGTTATGGCGGATAACACCGATTGTTGAAATCTTCGACGTGTGTTAATTTGATTATTAGTACTCAAAGCGGAATATTGCAATTTTCGCGTTCGATTACACGTTGTTAATTTTAAATCATTAAAACTTGCAAAGTAAGGGCGAAAATATATGTCCTCAAAAGTTTAAGTACTATAATGATTTAAATAATGATGATATAAGTAAACTATGTAAATAACGAATACCGCTGACGACAAACGATTTTAGTACAAACACATAATACTAATTTGAATTTGGCGCCCGAATTGCGCGTTTTGCAGCACTAAACAAGTGACTGCGCAAGCGAGTTTTACACCACTGGCCAACATCCCAGGGATGCATCGCACCAAAGTTCGGCAATTGAACTAAAGTAACAGAGTTTAGCTATTCTAGTGAAACTAAAGATTATTTAAGCAACTTCCATTGGTACAATTACTGCAAGGTGCACTGCGCATTGGAAGAGTGAACCGTTTTTCCGTTAGCGAGCTTATCGCACCACTAACACACAAGCAAACATACATAAGCACATACACAGACTCTCTCCACTCTCTCTCGCTCTTCGCAATCGAAACGATTTGTTGTTGGCCGCAGTGCTTGTTTTGCTTATATTAGCATGTGTGGAGTGCAAACCAAGAATCAGTAGTCGCCGCGGTTTCGACGTGTCAGTTTGCAGTACAATTACGATTGATTAATCGCGCCAAATCGCGGAGCCAAGTAGTACTTAGCAGCTAGCAAGAAGAAGCACATCAGCGAGTCTATCGACAACAATAACAAAATATGGCGGATAAAGTAAATGTGTGCATTGTGGGCTCCGGCAACTGGTGAGTAGTGCATTTAATTAGCCACCTCGTCAGATGCACTTACATAATGACCAATCAATCCACTCCACAACCAAACACCCACCCGCCCACACCCAACACCACCACACTAATCTAATACCGTGCGCCCTTGCAGGGGTTCGGCCATAGCGAAAATCGTGGGCGCCAATGCCGCCGCACTGCCGGAGTTCGAGGAGCGGGTGACCATGTTCGTCTACGAGGAGCTCATCGATGGCAAGAAGCTGACGGAGATTATCAACGAGACGCACGAGAACGTCAAGTACCTGAAAGGACACAAGCTGCCCCCGAATGTGGTGAGTGTTGGTTGCTTATTTGGCTTATGTAACGCCGGAGCGGATTGTTAAGAAACAGCCGTGCGCTTACATAAAGGCTGCATACCTTGATCTTGGCCGTGCAGCCACAAATTATCTAATCGGTCGAATCCGCGTCTATTTTTACACCGCGCTCGCTCTCTGCGCTGCTCTCTGGCTGCTCTATTGTTGCTCTCTTGTTGCACCCTAGCTGCACTTTCAGGGCCAGCATCGCGCTCTCCGCTCTCCCAAAAGAGCGAATCCGCCCCAGTGCCTTTGACGTAGGTCAAGGCCGGTGGGCGTGCAACGGGCCACCCCCTCGCAGGGCCGCCCAGCACGCGGTAACATTCTATTAGCCGATAATTTGGACAGGCGATAAGCAGGCGATCCACTCGAAATAGGTGCGTTTCTACACATGTCCACATGTGTACATGCGGCAAAGGCACTCGAACTGTTCTGTTTGTTTCTGTTTCGATAGATAAGCTCAACTGGATCGGGTCGGGTGATAAAGTCCATCCATAAAGTAGAGTCAGCAGTTCATCCACGATAATGTTAGCCCTGTACTCGGCTCGATTTGCCACAATGCTTTGGAAAAAAACTAGCCACACAGACACACCACAATCATGCGTTGGCGGCATGGATTGATAAACGTGAAAAACAGAATCCAAACAAAATGTGGGCGACACTTTCCCATGCCACCCCACCTTTTGTTTGCCTATACAATGTACACACATACGAGTATAAACTCTGACATTTTGGCAGACTTTCAGCGACTTTGTTGGAGAGGGGGAATCAAAACAACAGAATAGCCACAAGAAAAATAGATAAATACGACTGAAATTCTATAAGCAGTGATCGCCATCAATGTCAGATATGCAAAAAGTATGCAAAAGCCAAAGGCAATGAAAATGTGTCAGCTAATGAGTTTGATGCAACACAGAAATAATGCAAATATTTGGAAATTTTGTTTGTTTGCCTGTATAGAATTACAGTTTGTTCCTATGACGTACTGTAGAACGAAATACGTGACGAAAACTTGGAAGTCTCTACTTCTTGAATTATTGATTGGCAGCTGGTGTGCCTAGTTAAATTTACCTTTTGTTATGCCAAATGAGCATTCGTGTGGCTATCCTACTGCTTATCATAGATTGTTACGTTAAAACAAAACCTATAACAATTATTTAAATGTCATTGCCCCAGTGAGCCCATTAAAATGCAAGTAGCGCAACATAACACAAGCTCATCATTTGCCTTAACCTTTTAAAATTTCCATTTGCTTGCCATTTTGGTCTTTTTTAAGCTCATAATCACTATCGTCCGGCGTAGGAAAAACAAACACATTAGCAATATGAACTCATTTGAAATGCGACAAACAGGTTGGCGAGCCAGCATGGCGATATGGAGAAATAACACTATCAACTACAACGTCACACATATCAAGCTCAGCCGATCTGGTCAGCCCATCCAAGATTTAAGCAGTCTAGACAGCTGAGGAACGAGCCTCCAAAAGTTGGAACACGTGCTAGGAAAATGATTTCCGCGATCCATCTACAGTTCCCTTCATTCAACCTTCAGCACTCTTATCGGAGTTTTATATTTTTTTTTTGTTTCGTTATCACAGTAATTAGAAAAGTTTACTTTGTGCCCCTATTCCACAGGTTGCTGTGCCCGACCTGGTTGAGGCCGCCAAGAACGCCGACATCCTGATCTTCGTGGTGCCCCACCAGTTCATTCCCAACTTCTGCAAACAGCTCCTGGGCAAGATCAAGCCGAACGCCATCGCTATCTCACTGATCAAGGGCTTCGACAAGGCCGAGGGCGGCGGCATTGATCTGATCTCGCATATAATCACGCGTCACCTGAAGGCAAGTCAGCGTCGCAAAGGTGACACCGCCAGAATATCTAATCCACATGTGACTTTCCATCGCAGATCCCATGCGCCGTGCTGATGGGCGCCAACCTGGCCAACGAGGTGGCTGAGGGAAACTTCTGCGAAACGACAATCGGCTGCACGGACAAGAAATATGGCAAGGTGCTGCGCGATCTCTTCCAAGCGAACCACTTCCGCGTGGTGGTCGTCGACGACGCCGATGCCGTGGAGGTCTGCGGAGCCCTCAAGAACATCGTGGCCTGCGGCGCTGGCTTTGTTGATGGCCTGAAGCTGGGGGACAACACCAAAGCAGCTGTCATCCGGCTGGGTCTCATGGAGATGATTCGCTTTGTGGACGTCTTCTACCCCGGCAGCAAGCTGTCCACCTTCTTTGAGAGCTGTGGCGTGGCTGATCTTATCACGACGTGTTACGGTGAGTTGCATATGAATTTGCTCGGTTGCTCGGTTAAATTGCGAAGGTTATCAGGAACAGGCAAACAACGGATTTGATATATCAGCAACCTGCTAGTCAAATACTATCATTATTTTAAGGCAAAACAGCTCCGTCAATGACTCACATTTAACAGTATTTGCTAATTGCTTTAGTGTAGTCTACATCAATAGCGCTGTAATAAATTAGTTCTGTTTACGACTGTTAGCTTGTTATTTCAAGTTGATTGTTTCATGCATAAGTACAATTAGGTGGCACTCACAATTTGGAATGCCTGATATAGCAATTATACTCTATAAATAACTATTTATCTTTGCAGGTGGCCGCAACCGCCGCGTCTCTGAGGCCTTTGTGACTTCTGGAAAAACCATTGAGGAACTGGAGAAGGAAATGCTTAACGGTCAGAAGCTGCAGGGCCCACCCACTGCCGAGGAGGTGAACTACATGCTGAAGAACAAGGGTCTGGAGGACAAGTACGACTGATCTTTTAATCCCATCAGATTCGAACAGCCTAAAACTGATCTTTTTTGCTTGCAGATTCCCCCTGTTCACGGCTATCCACAAAATATGCACAAATCAGCTCAAGCCTAAAGATTTAATTGATTGCATACGCAATCACCCTGAGCATATGTAAGTGTTTCGTTTGCATTGGTTATGTCTCGTTTGCGCCTGTTTACCCTGCTATCCTGTTATCCTGTATCCTGCCTTCCCGAAAATCCTCTGAAATGAGCTCTGGCTTTTTATTCTCACCATTAACTTTTGATTTATGATTGTTTCCTTAACTTTTATGATTTTAAGTTTATCCTTCTCCTATGCTAAGTTGTTGCACCTCCTGTTTTTGTTTCTTTGATTGTTTCCCTGTTATTATTTAATTAATACCTAAACTAAGTTTAACTCTAACATTAATAAAGTGCTAAAATAATAAAACTTGATGCGAAATTCAAAATTTTTTAAAATGAAAATACCACCAGGAATGTTTTACATTCCCCATAGAAATCATTCATAATCCCGATATACATGCATCAGTTTCATTCGTTTTCAGACTTATATTCAGCCATTTATTTCGTTACATCCCGTAGTCACTACTAATCCATCGATATAATATTATTTTCCATCCATTACAAATTAGTTTCCTTCTCTTCTTTTTATATTATTTTTTATAGGGAAACCTCCATCATGCCGTCGCCAAAACTTTAAACTGTGTTACACCTAAACAAGATCAGTCAAATGTATATTGTAAATACTATATATACCTGCATAGATCAAATCAACCAGTCATCTTCACCAAGGCATACAAAGCTGGCATTATAGATATATGCATAAAGTCAGAAAAGTCGTTCCACGTCAACTGCATTTCTATTTCCCTTATTCTCGCAAGTGTTTTTCAATGTGTACAGTGTTTAAGTGTTAGATAATCGAACCAAAACAAAGAGTGTCATAATTGTTGAACCTAATTGGAATTGTTAAAATAAATATAAATTAAATACAATTTTTTTGTACATACCAACAAAAAGTGTTCCCAACTCATTTCACATTCAA